CAAGTAGTTCCTTGTATCCTTTCGTCGTTTTGGTGAATTTTCTAACGTCAAAGGAGGGACGAATTTCTCATTAACGTCAATTTCTGGCTACTAAGAAATAAATCGATCTACGCAGATATAGTACTATGATGTAGCACAGAGATTTTCCCGTTTTTCACTACGACAATATCAGCTGTGCACTCGAAGCTAGCAAAATATCTACTAGGAAAGCCAGCGTAAGGCCTTTCTAAATAATGTTTATGCCAAACGGTTGTTATTTCACCAATCATCTCCAACATAGTAACGATTATAGAAGATCTCCTGATACACCATTTCTGAATGGCAATGATATGTTGAACCTGATTGGTTTACACCATGTAAGTGGATTATCCAATTCCTGGATTGTGATGAATAATAATTACAGACTATGTCACCTGCTAATGGTCATCTACAACGAGTGGCATGCATTTCTAATGTTGCGGAAACGCACTATTATAGTAAGATTCCAATCGAGCTGAAGAATCAGCGGGAAACTTACCCACCGCCGCAAAACTTGCAGCACGACAGAATGTTTTCATCTGATATGTAAGGTTGCTTATAACCACCAGTCGCTATGCACACCCTGTCCGACATAACTGATGCTGTCGAAACTGCCTAAAAGTCACGTGTAATCATATTTGCTGTAACAGAATTGATCTTTACCCAGCAGGAGCCACAGTTTGCCTGGTTACGGATCAGCCGAATGGAACTGCAGAATGGCCAATGTTGACGCGCATCAAATTCCTTTGGTATATCGTCTTCATCTTCAAGTTCAATAGCCTCTGCCTCTGCTGCTTTGTATTCCTCTTCATTCGGTTTGGATCCAAGCATATTTCTGAGTTGTTCTTTCGACAGTTTGCGGAAATTCTCATGGATTCCGTGCTAAATTTCATTGGAAATATTTATGCAGATTCTTTGAACTATTCGTACCTCCCATGTGAGTTCCATTCCTTCCATCTCTTTCTTAATATCTTCGTAGTTATCTTCGTGATAACCACCAAGGACAAATGGCAACAAACAAAGAAACACAATTTTCACCATTTTGTTCGTTCACGATAATTCGATAACAGGATAAATTTCAGTTTCATTTATATACTCTAGCCACCGAATTTTTAGCAGGTGAATGAAAGCTATGCAAACATTTCTTTTGATTCTGAAGTCTGTGCGCACTGCAGGTGATCTTTACAAAAAACGGCCATTTCGCTTCTTGTTCTCTCTAAAATGCCATCTGTGCTGAAACTCGTCAACCAGCTCTGGAACGTTTCTCGGCACAAACGTATTTCCCCTAAAAAGTTGAATTGGAAATGCTGATATTAGTTTGTCGGCATTGCAGAAACGTTGTAGCATGTGCTATCGTTGGTTCCTATGAGTAGTCGATACAATTTCTTGATATGTGTGTGAAGAAGTACTGCCAAAATGTTTTTATTCCCCCCATGGCACCACACATCTCCTCTATTCGTGTATCATATGAAGAATGTCGAATACTGAATGACTAGAATTATCACATGATTTTGCATGTGCCAGTTAACCGTTGCATTGATTGCATACTTGTTCGGCGGAATTTCCGAGGTTAAGTCACTCACTACTAAAACTCAGCTGCATACGACAGCATTGCCTTTCAGTTTGAAATGACAGTAAGCAATACGACGTGTGACAAATGAAGAAACACGGCTAATGGATCGAAAGTGTTTCCACTTTAGGCGACAGAACCAGGGACAATATTTTCTGGGCAAAGACCTGAGAAAGATCAAATGGGTGCGATAAAGCAAAAGCATGTTGTTTCTAATGCATGTTACATTCATAAATAGCAACGTTGTCTCCATTCAAGAAGCTACAAAGGGTCCCAAGAAGTACGGCTTTCATCTCATAAAGTCCTTGGTGCTTTTTTGCTCTTTTCGACCAATAATCAGGTCATAAATGGAGAACGCGTTATGTGCCATTTTCCGATTGGTGAAAAAATTAACGTACTGCACACTGCAGTTGAAACATATTGTTTATCTCTCCGAATATTGCTGTTTGACTGAAACATTCGTGTCTCGTTTCATGCGTTTACTTTGCTCTGCGCTGTATTCCAATTCAGCGATTTTTGGTGTAAAGTTCAAATCGGTGATGTTCGAACGGCATCGGTTTTCTTATATCACAGTGGCAAATCACTTATTTGTAATAAGGCAGAA